TATCACCCAATCAATAACCCTACACTAAGTACCCCGTGCCGTAGACAACAAGAGAAGAAATGTATCACTCAATCAATAACCCTACACTAAGTATCCCATGCCATAAGTATCCCATGCCATAGACAACAAGAGGAGAAATTCACCACCCAATCAATAACCCTGCACTAAGTACCCCGTGCCATAAACAACAAGAGGAGAAAACGATCAGCCAATCAATAACCCTACACTTATTATCCTGTGCTGTAGACAACAAGAGTAGAAATTTATCACCCAATCAATAACCCTACACTAAATACCCTGTGCCGTGGACAACGAGATGATAAATTGATCACCCAATCAATAACCCTAAACTTAGTACCCCGTGCCGTGGACAACGAGATAACCCTACACTTATTATCCTGTGCCGTAAGCAACGAGAGGATATATTAATCACCCAATCAATAACCCTACACTAAGTACCCCGAACCGTAGACAACGAGATGTTGCATTGATCACCCAATCAATAACCCTACACTTAGTACCCTGTGCCTTAGACAACAAGAGGATAAATAAATCACCCAATCAATAACCCTACACTAAGTATATCGTGCCATAGACAACAAGAGGATAAATAAATCACCCAATCAATACCCCTACACTAAGTATCCCGTGCCGTAGACAACAAGAGTAGAAATTTATCACACAATCAATAACCTTACACTAAGTACCCTGTGCCGTGGACAACGAGAAGTTACATTGATCACCCAATCAATAACCGTAAACTAAGTATCCCATGCGCCATAGACAACGAGATAACCCTACACTTATTATCCTGTGCCGTAGCTAGACAACCAAAGGACCAACCGAATACAATATTACCCTGAAGATTAGACGGAAACGCTAGACGAACCACAGGGTGTCCACTGTTTTCGAACCACACTATTCATTTCGTAAAATCGGGTTGTTAAATTATATGTCGTGATGAGTGTTTCACTGATAATCAAACAAGAAGCCCAATAACGATGAAGAATGTGTAACTGACCAATACGTAAAGGATAAAGAAACACAGGGTAACAAAATAGGCAACAATTATTTAAGGCTATGGCATTGCGAAGGTCCAAGGCAACAACAGGTTGCTATGAAGTTTGGTGTGAAGGTTACTACCATAGAACGTCTGGTCCGTTATCTGAGATACACGAGAAAGGTTGCCTACCTGCGTAATTGCCACGTCACTACCACTGAAACCGCTACAATCATACTCGCCACATCCACTCCAAATCTGTAAGGAATTGCGCGAGGTTGGTCTGCGAGCTTGTCGTCCTTACGTTGGTCTGCCTTACCGCACGCGCGTCGTATGGCTTGGTTGACACATGCTCTCAGACGATATCCAGTGAGGCAATGGAAGTCGTCTTTTTCACAGATGAGCCCCGATTTTTCGTCTGGAAGGTCGACGTCGTGTATACCTACCTCGCGGGTAACGCTTCGCTGACGATTGTGTTTTTGAGATATGTTTGGGGTGGCGCGGTTATGGGGTGGGGGATATCTCACGGGGTAAAGTCACCGTTGATTGTTGAAGCCAAGAATTTAACCGCCGTAAGATATAGGGGTGGAATGCGCAACAGCATCACCTTCACATGTAACCCACTCGACTGACCGCCGTACAGTCCATATTTGTCCCCAATCGAACATCGATTGGACGAATTTGACAGGAGGGTGAAGGGGCGTTGGAAAGCCCCAACTACTCTCGACCAACTAAGGACTACCTCATTGAAAGAATGGAACAAAATACTCATGAGTAGGATAAATACACTGATGAACTCCATGCCCAAGAGAATCAGGGCTGTGACAGATGCGCGAGAGGGGCAAACGAGATGCTGACGAGTCAGTCGATTTCACTTGGCGATGTTGGGGGTACCGTTAAATGTACTTCAGTTACTCATGGATTATTGGTCGAAATCTAATGACATTTTGGTTAACTGCTTATTTAATATGCTTTTTTATACTGAAAAAGAAATATTGCATATAACATTCAAAAACATAACATTAAATCACCTCAAATGTTTACCCTACGTTTCCTTATCCTTTCAGTATAGATGCAACATGCACGTCTGTTAAATATAAAACGAATGCAGATAGCGAACATCCTGACAAGAAGGGTCGAGGCTGGTGTATAAATCTGCGCTACTACCGAACCTGTAAGACAGACAACAGGTTGGGAAGGTTAATTCTGATGTAATATATGTATATGCACTGAAACTGAACCTGTGGGCAAACAGCAGGTCGCAAGGGAAACACCTGATAAAAGAACATTGGCTGAGCCCGAGCCATAACATAAACATCAGGATGGGGTGGTCGATTGTTGTTCTTATGAAACACAAGTACATGCGCTGAAGATGAAACCTGTGAGGCGAAAAATAGGTTGCAAGGACCATGTCTGGTGTATGAACGTGTTTTTGACAACAAACGTGGGAAGCAAACAAGAGGTTTCATGGAAAGGTTGAGTCTAGACTTCCTCATATACTTAGAAACCACGAGACCTTTGCAAATCTTGATGAACCCTCATGAATTTATTTATAAAAACAATGATGAATAACTTGAGGCGTGGGGATAGGTACTTCAAAATATTTAAATGATTATTGCTTACTTAGTTTTCTAACTGTGAACTCGATAAATTGTACCATCTCAATATGCTTTTTTCACCTTAATTGTATGTTGTGGGACTGTAGCGTGCAACATCAATATTAAACCCATCTTAAACCTTCATGCTGCTGTTAATGCAACATTATTATAACGGCAATTTTCTTCCGAACTATATGCGTTGGATGCCTTATAATGTAGGCGTTTTTTTTTTTTTTTTTTCAAGAGGTTATGAAATTGCGAGAGCAGAAAGTGATTTTTGGATCACATAATTAACAAGACTATGCATTTTGGTGATTATTATCCTGCCGAACAAAACACGCGTAAATTGGTACGCAGAAAAAAATCTTCCTCAATTATATTCATGTTTGTTTAACCAAACAAAGTTAACGTAAATATAATTTTACTTTCTCATGTCAAAAAAGTCCGGAACATTGTACATTTCTTTATAATTGACATATCAAAAAACATTCACTTCGTGCAATATTGATATTGAATTGCAGACAAAAATAACCTTCAAATGTAATGTATTCAATCATCATCGAAAATAAACCAACTTGAGGAAATTAGAAAAATGAAATAACAAAGATACAAGACCAACTTTTTATTACCAATTTTATCAATAACAAATAAATTGCTTCATGTACGTCGGGGAAATGAGATCACGTGACCCCTGCTGTTAGTAATATGTACGTGTTCCTCGTATTCCATTGTTTGGAGACGCCTGGACCTTGTTTTTGGAAAATGCACGGTAACCTGAAAATAACACAGTTTCCATATTTAAACGTACTATGTACTGGTTATCGTGCATTCACGCATCAGTGTCATGCAATCATGCATTGTATCTAAATATTCTAATTATTCAACAAATGTTAGCTGAATGTTCAAATCAAACATTTAATTGTTATTCGGTAAAGATAAAAGGAATTTATTAGAAAATTGGAATTGATCAAGTCTTTCGTGAACTTTGCACAGAGAAAATCGAAACTATTTGAGCTATCCGTTTTGGACATTTTCTTGAACTTCCATCAGGCAAACCATTGCTTTATAATGTTATTTTAAGGAGATGACTCACCGTTTAGGCCGAGTGCCCGATAGTACATAGCTTTAGAGTAACTGGACATTGGATTTTGGTGTTCACGTCTGGAAGTGATTGGTATTTCCCCTTCGTCTTGATTATACATAGGTTCCATCTGTCGGTCTGTCTCTCCAGGAAGACCGTCAGAGGGGACTGAGTCACGTGACCAAGCTTCAGATTGATACAGATGTCGCCGTTTACCAATTCTAGGAAAATCATTGCCCTCCTTGTTAGTGTAGAATATGGCCTTGGCTAGCTGTATGATGGCGAATGTTGTTAAGAGAGTAAGGATTGAATGTGGTGACATCTTGTTAATCACACCTGCAATTATAATAAAAAAAACCCATATAAAACATCATTCTTTTTAGTCCACAAATGAGGCTGTTTTTTATAACCAGACAGGGAAGATAACGGATGGTATTTTAGCTTATTATAATATTGCTGAAAATTATTGTTGAAGTTGATCTCCCCGAATGACGAGTGAAGGATACTATTAACAGAGGGATTAGTTAATTTGCAATGCTCAAACAATGCTTTAATCCCTAGATAAATTCCAAACAGGTATATGTTTTTTAATTACCAAAGATAATGACAGTCGACGGTAAGACATCACTGACGATCATCACCGTTTTAATTGTGTCCTTTATTATTGAGGATGAATCGGAGGCCCTTGAATACTTAACTCATTCACCCCTGAAGTTTCATAATGAACTATTCCAACCTTTGAATTGGGAGAGTTCCAATGTGTCTTCAGGGGTGAATGAGTTAATGACGCGAATTTTGGATTGTTTGTGTACAGTCTTTAAAAAATCATTTGAACACAAAAGGCGAAGCATCAGTACATATCATTAAATGACATGGTTGATTAAAGAATGAAAATACAAATAAAGTTAAGTTTATTGACAACTGCTTAAACTTTCCCTTTGTCTAATTTTGAAATGCACGTGGTCTTGTTTTAGAAAATAACCCCTCTTCTTTTTTTAAAGAAAGACAGAGAAAAAAGGAAGAAGCTGTTTACCGGCTAATATAACAACAAACTGCTGCGCACATAAAGATAATGGATAGACCGGGAATCAAGAAGCTTAACAACGTGTCGTATGTATGTTTGCATCTTAATTGATACCGGGAAAGTAACAGGAACTATTAAAGTTTAGTGACGAAAAAAAGGCAGAAACCGGAGTTTAAATGTAGAGAGATATCACACGTATCGGATGTCGCCACATTATTATGTTTGAAAGGATAATGTTTGTTTGCTTAATTATTGTTTAAGCGTTATCGACTTACATCTTTGCCCTCGGATAACACGTTATTAGTTTGTGTGGCGGACAGGTATGTGCTAAAGCGGAAGAGTATCTGGTTCCATCGGTAGACTTAGTCCGTATTTTCACGCCTAGTACTACTTTCCTACATCCAGCTCTACTGCGTCACAAGGGGATGATTATATCCGCAACCCGATAACCCTTGTAACGACTGTCATCGTTATTTATGAAATAAACAAAACTTAATGCGTGACTGATTATCACGTTATATACAAGGCCACGCATACTGCGTTCCGCACATGTATATTGTAGGTGTAACGTCTGGACACATATCTGCAGTCTAGCGATAACTCCTAGATTATATACCGGAGGACTATACGACGCCCATTATCTGGAAATATTTGCTCATTCGTGATGTCAGATGATTCTGTTAATGTGCTTTTTTTTAAACCAAAAAAGCAATAACAGTAATTATCGTGTCATTGTTGCATTAACATTTGTGTACAATCATGTTTTTATATAATATAACCATCATTATGTGTCACTTCATATTTGTGTTATTATTGTCAATTGAGGACTGGTGTAGAGGTTAATATATGGTTTTATAGACCTGAAAAAGGATATATTAACCATGACGAAGTCGAGGTCAATAATTCTTTTCAGGGCTACATAACCACATAATCACTAATGCAAGTCTTTTATTTAAGGATTTACTTGAATAGATTTATCATGTTATTGAGATAAAACACAAAACATTGAAGTGTACTCTAAATAAACCGCGAAAAGGTTTATGATGAGAGTACACTCCGGTTTTTTGTGCTATAGATCCAAAACATGAAAAATATATTCAAGTCAATCCCTATAATTTAATCTACTATACACAATCCCTGTGGAAATCCACTTTTATTGATGGACTCTTTTCTCTTAAAAAATATTACGCCGCTGTATCAGCGAATCAAAAGCGACGTTACAAACGGCGACGTCATTTTGTTTTACGTTATGGTCTGATAACATAAATTTTTGAGCCAATGAAAATGATTGTTACAAGCAAGATGAAATGGTCAGATATAAATTATGCTGATTTCAATAAAAAAAAATGGACATTAGCAACAATACGTCAATATCACAAATCACTAACGTCCAGATGATAAGGATCAAACTATCGAGAATGTAGGGATAACATGTCTGATCAAACATTTTGTAGACACATCTTCGATTATAGCATAAACTTTAGTCATTTGCAATATATTTGATAGGATTTAATCATATATTGCATGAATGTCGATTTCCGATGTTAGGAAACATCTCTTGATTAAAATGAGATACAAAGTTAACTTTACTATTTATCTATCTACTAATTTGCTAATATCAATTAAGTCCTTATATATCGTTAATTGCATTTCAATTTAATGAATGATTTGTGAAGTACTCCTTCTAATAAATTGGTAATGACGAGAAACAATGTTTTGATTGTTGTCTATCTTGTAAGTTTACTTTAATATTTATCTGTAAATGTGTTGCAACCGTGAGTGGAGAAGACAATTATGAATGTTAACTTTCCAGTTCATCCGCAATGTTTATAATGTTAAAAATGTATGATGGAGTGGAAAAGAAAACTGTGTACCTCCTTTGTAGATTCATTACTTCGGAAAAATCATTTCAATCACAGTATTAAAAAAACCCATTAACAGGTGTTTTACATTTCATTGAATTTTTCTTCGTGAAAAGAATGAAAGGACAAAGCATGAACAATAAAAAAGAGTGACAAAGAGGCCCTTGAAAATGATGATCATGTGTTCCGGAAAAGAGTTTTCTGCTTCATCGACACACACGCCACATAAATCGAAATCGAATCCAAATAAATTGACTTCTCAAGGACAGTACCAGGGTAGTACCAACGAAACTTTAAGGACTATTCATGACCATATTTAACAGTGCGGACGGCATTCTTATCGTACAAGAAATCCGAGCATTACCCACAAAGATCCGGGTGGTGAGCTGACAACACTGCCCTGTACTTGCAATTTCTCCAACAGAAACGTTGATATTCGCAGCATGCCCATGAATGCCGTATCAACAGCGACGTGAATACCGTCGGCGGGGAAGAAATTGTCTTACGATTAAGAGGCAGAACGTTCACCAAAACATCACCCTATCAAACAGCTTAGTGGAAACCCATCCCTGTTTGTCAAATTGAAATAAAGATACCATATGTCCTTGATTTAAAGTTTCAGGAGAATAAATCTGGTCGATGCAGTTTACAATATGTTTCAGTTTAAAGACAATACATCGTTGATGTATCTGAAAGTAAATATAATAGTAATTTAGTAAGATCTGTTGACCTGTCCTGATAATAACAAGTTCACAATTGTCCTCAATGATACACACAAAATTGTAACAATGGTCTGCTGAAAAATCCTGCCACCAGACTCAACCCGAAAATAAATCATTCTCACCAATTCATCATCAGTATATTTTATATTTAAGGGTTTTTAAAAACATGCAAAATATTTCGTAAGCACATGTTTGTATTGTCGTTTGACTTTCCTCAGAACAGAACGTCCACGTAATAACAGACTGAAGCCGGTCTGAAGAATGGTAGTGTTCAGTGTAGCGAAGTCAAATAATCTGTAATAGGTAGCATTGCTGAGGACGGAATGTTTAAGTTGTTCGGTATAAGACATTGTGAAATCCTTAAAATTTACATTCTATCTGATCCATTTAATGAGGTATACCATCTCAAAATGCGATTGCAATCTTGATGTTAGGGTTTCGAGATAGTAAGCAGTTTGGTTAATAATTTGTTTAAGAACTAGTACCAGCAATATATTGTTAATAAGGATTGTTCTTAAGTTTTGGAATTCAGCATAAACAAGGCAAGTCAGTAACAAAGCGATACAGCTATAGCTAGTAATAGGAAAGTTGGCAAAGAGGGAGCATGATTTTAGAAATACTCGAAAAAAGGAAGATAAGTTACTTTATAATCACGTAAACCAATTTCTTATGCAGGCAGGAGATGTTTCTTGAAGTCATGAATTATGGTAGTATATGCTCTGTCCTCCAACAAAACCACATACACTTGTACTTATCTTGCCGATGGCTAGTTAAGTGGCATTATACACAGACATAAAACGATAACAAGAAAAAAAAAAAAAAATCATAAACCTACATAAAAAAGATCCCATAAGTTTGAAGTTTTCTTCACGACATTAACAATGCGTCAAATTGAGAATATTTTCAAGGTCACCAAATTTTCGCCTATATTTTTGCAGAGCCGTTTTAGATCGGATTCAAATCCTCCTCAGTTACTTGGGACGCCTTAGGTAGTGTTGCCTTAGTTCAGTGCTCAATGTGTTGAAAGCAGGTTGAAAAACAATATGTGTCTCCTTGATTGATACATTATGAAAGTACGTCCATCGTGAGAATTTAATGATATTATCATACAGCAATCATATTTAACCCACATGTACCAAAATGTGTAGGTAACGAAACTTGGGTGCACTGAAAAATATTTCTTCCTTGTTAACGCTTAATTATGTTTCTAAACATTAAAAATCCAATCCTAGTGTGAAGAGTTCACTTATAAACGAATAAAACCCAAAACAGACAGAGATGACGATACAAGTGAAAAAAAGACCAAGTACGATTTGTTGAGTTTGGTGCCTCAACTAGGAACGTCTATTTGTCCTCTGTGTGTACTTAGCCTGTATGTACATCGGTAACGATAGTGATAATGGAAACGGTTGTATGGCTCTGTCAACGTGTAAAGACACTTAAACGTGTTTGACATTGTGCGGAAATGGCCTCCCGATGGAGATATCACCGTTAATGTCTCGTATATTATGTGTCTTCGCTAGGGAGGGATGACGGTTACACTCGCTGTCTTCCTCATGATTCCTTGTCATTTATGCCTAACAGTGATTTAAAAAAGATATTTTATTGATGTTTTTATTTTAGTAAGATTCATTAGCACGGAATGATCCTTGAAACTATTTTTATAACCAATAACGAATGTTAACGCGATGTCTCAATGCCGTGCCCCAGTTGATGCTCATACACTCTACAGATTTTATCAAATTACTTTTACATGACCGGACAAATGAAAAGAAACTTTATTATTTCGTATCATATTAAATACGATTCATTATTTATTTCATGTTGAAATCTACATATAAACCGCATTCCAGGAAATTTTTCGCCGGAGTTTAACTTTCGCCTTGTTTATTTTCCCTCTCTAATGAGAGCGATTTTATCATGCCAGCAAACATTACAATCAATATCAGTTTACAATCGTTACATGAGATGGGCGAGCTAATATTGGACAATAATGTTTCGCGGTATAAGTATATAACTGAATGAGTTGACTAACAGTAACGTGCCTGACGACCTGAAAAATGAATATGCGATTAGGACTATCGAGGTTAGTAACATTACATTGAGCAATTGAACATTTATGCTTAATAATACTTTTTCGTTTTGTAGAGTTTGAATTCTGGAGAAATATTAGTGCTCTGTTTATTATACTGTAAAGTGTTCAAGATTTGTGTTCTCAAATATTCGCGGTATCTGCCTGAACAATTATGCCACCAATTAGCCTTGTTAACAATATTAATATCGCAAGGTTGATATAGAGCAATTTGTTTTTCGTTTGTGGAATCGAAGCCCCCTGAAATATTCACCCCAGGACAAAGTGGCTGCTTTGTAAATTAAGAACAAACTTCATCAAAACTTTTATAAGAGTATTAGATATATCTCGGCGGCCACACAAAGGAACAAGATAATCAACGGCTTCATGAAAGAAGGAAATTATATTGCAAAATCAACACCAGGATCGAATACACTATCGCGTCACCAACATAGTCTATCCTATGTATATAGGCAAAGTCCCGGCTACTCCCTAGGGTATAATTGTCATCACATACTCTTCTTCTCTCACGTTCTATTCGCGAATTGCGTAAGATCCACGATGGCATTGTGAATACAATAATCAATAAGTTGATTTTCTATGTTCTGTAAAAGAATTATCCATAACATATTGAGAAAGAGCAGAGATACAGTTTGTTCCCATCAGATGATGTCAGACTGTGCCGTATATATTCATTCACTGACCAACTGTCAATCAAATGACATCACATATGTCATATATTAAAATGGCGTCATGTGTCAGAATATCGGC